TTCAGAGCAATGTCTTGGTGGAAATCAAATAAGCTGATGTGTCTGAAAGCGCATTGTCAACTGTCAAGCACATTCCTGGGAGGCAGGGGTCCAGGTCCTTGGGACTTTGCCTCCCTCACCCTAATAGCAAGGGCTCAGGGCAGTCACCCTGGGCCAGCCCAGCCTTGCTGCCTTGAACCACAGAGCCATGGAGAATGTTCTCTGCTCTTCACCCTCTTTTTCCCAGTGGAGAAACAGAAGCAGCCATGGTTTTAATTGTAACTCAATCCTCCATCTTGTCCTGGAATCATATGGTTCCTCCCTTGAGGACTTTTGGGGACATGGAAGGAGACAGGACAGTTCTCTGGGTGTGTACACCCCTGCGTCCATGGGGAAGGGGGGGCTGATGGCCATATAGAGAATGGCACAAACATCTGGCTCTCTTCCATGACCCCTTATGTTTCAGGCTTGTGACAGAGTGTACAAAGTTGAGCACCGATGACACTGCTGCTACCATGGAGCCAGGAGAGGCCTCCCGCTGGGGTTCTCTGTCCACTGGAATCTGTCCCTGTCTGTCCACCAGCTCTCCTCCCTGCACCCTCCCCCATGCACCTTCCCCCCAGGCCAGCAGACCTGTCAGGATGGACTGGTCCACCCGGAGGGTGGTGGATTTGATGGAGATGATGCGGATGTCTGCAGGAACTTTGTCCCCCACTGCAGAGAGAGCAGAGAAGAGTGAGGTCAGTTGGGAATGGAGTTCTCTTCCTTTCTAAGAAAACCCCCATCCATGTCTGACCTCTCCCCCCGCAACAATCCTGCAGGTCTCAGGGAGGCCCGGGGCTGGGGCCTCGCTGGGGCTCATGTCAGGCCCCCGCATAGGCTCCTGCAGCCCAGGCAAGCACTCCTGTTGCAGCGCCCATCCCTGCTGTCCCCGTGTCAATGGCTCCTCTTCCCACCGTGAGCCCCGTGAGGGGAGTGCCCACATCCTGCCTGACACATTGTATGTGCTCGACAAATGCACGCTCAGTGACTCAAGGGAAACTTAGGGACAGTCCAACTGTAGGACGAGAAACTAAAACTGAGAATGGGTGAAACAGACAGGGAGATGAGAATTAGAAACTCGGGGAGGGAAAGGCAAGAAAGGGACTCAGAAAACAGGGCGAGAAGTGACATCATCGTGAGGGAATGAAGTGGACAGCCGGGGAGGGCAGGAATAGACAGAAGAAAATATACGAGAATTGAGAAAATCAAGGCCAACTGAGAGAACAAGTGGAGGTGCAGCCAGAGAGAAGAGAGGGAGGGAGGTGTGCGCAGGGGATGGGGTGGGGGCGCAGGTTGGTGAGAGAATCATGCCAGGCGGGCTGAGCATCTGAGGGCAGGCGGGGAGCCAGGCTGAGCGAGCTGGGGAGACAGCCGGGACAGGTGCAGAGGAGGAGGAAAAGAAACACAGGCTGAGGAGCTGGGGGGATGCACAGGTGGGGCAGGACGACCACAGAAACCACCTTGGGAGGGGCTGAAGAGGCCAACGCCCCCAGACTCAGAGGCCTTTGGAGGAGGATCCATACCTCCCAGGGCCTCTGCCCAATTCCCAATTCCGCCTGGGCCCACGGATGGTACTGGGGACAGGGTCCCACCACTCTCCTTTCCCTCATTTCCCTCCTGTGCCAGAGGAAGTGGATGGAGGATGGAGGAGGGAGGAGGTGGTGATGGGACACCCTGACACCCAAGCCTGAGTGATATTTATAGATGCTTATGGCACTGACTCCACACTGTCACCGTGGTAGGACAGTCCTGCCATGGGGCACCGGGGTCTTCAGCCCACCCCTGCTCCCTCTCCTCAAGCTTCCCAGGCAGTGACGTGGGTGTTTGGTGGAGGGAAGGAGGCCTAGGGAGGTCTACTCCGCCTGCCAGGGGCCTGGAGTTGTGCGAAGGCCTGTGCAGGGCAAATATAAAAACCGCTGAAGGGGGCAGAATCCCAGTAATCTTAGCCACCCGGCCCCCACCCCTCCCTGGTCAGGCATTAAGTGTCCCTCACCAGAGGGGCGGGGCACCTCCTTGAGCTCCCCTCCTCCCAGGTCCCGTGCTCTCTGCCGGGCCTGAGTTTCCCTTACATGGCCGGGGGCTTGAGCCTTCGGCCTGCCTCCTCCCTTCCATGCTCCTTCCCTTCTGAGAGGCCTCAAGGGCACTGAGAGGTCAAGACTGAAAGCTGACCAAGCGTGGGGGTGGGTGGAAGGAGAGGGAAGCCAGGCCTCCTCGGGAGGGGGTGGAGACGGGGCTATTGGCAAGGCCTGGGTTCCACCTGTTGCTTGCAAGTGCTGGCTGAGAGCAGGGGGAGCAGGGGGTCTGCCTGCAGCTTCAGGGACAGGACTGGCTGTTCCTGCCGAGACTGACGGCGAGAGGGTGCCGTGGCCGGAATGCCCTGGGCTGACCTTCTGAGGAGTCTTGGAAGGAGAAGCAGACTCCACCAGCCTCCTGGACACCAGGGTCAGGGGCTGACCAGTCCCCACCTTCTTCTTGGCCTTAGACCCATGGCCTCCCATCCTGGACCACCCATTGCGAACACTCACCGGCCACCTCTACAATGTCCCCTGGAACAATGTCCCGAGCCTTGATCCTTTGCACTGTCTTTCGGTCAGCCCGGTAGACCTTCCCCATCTCGGGTTCATATTCCTTGAGAGCCTCGATGGCATTCTCTGCATTACGCTCCTGAGGGGACAGGGCAGGAGAGAGGAAGGCCATCAGAGGAAGGAAGCTCGTGGAAAGGGGAGGGGACAATTTGGGGAGTGGGGGCATAGAGATGGAGGAGCAGTGGCCAGGATCTTGGGAGAAACAGGGACATCGCACAGGAGGCAGGGTCATGCCGTTCTGTTCTGGCTCTTGGCACTAAGGAGGAGACAAAACCCCATGTGAAGGCAGGGGTGTGCGAGTGCATATGTGTGTGTTAGGGGGGACTGTTGAGGAAACTGTCACCTATGGCTGAAAACAGGTGAGAGGGTTTTGGAGAAAGAAGAAAAGAGAATCAAACAAAATCAGAAAGCAGGGGATAGGAAAAGTAGAGGGTGGTAAGATAAGAGGAAGAAGGAAATCAAACTAGCATCTATTGAATTCCTAGTCTATACCAGACATACTCATCATTTTGTTTGATTTCACCACGAGCCTGAGGGATGGGATTATTAGCCCCATTTTATGGATGAGGAAACTGAGGCTCAAAAGGATGAAGGAAACTTGCTCAGGGTCATAAAGCCAGCAAGTGACAGTGGGTCATATTCTCACACCTTTTCCCCAACACCCCATCCCACTTCCAAATTGGGCAATAGTACCCGAGGAAAAGGCAAGCCCTGGGGAAGTGATGGATGCGGTTGGAGGGAGGGTTGGCTTCACGTTCAGTGTTGGGACAGGAAGGGGTGAGGAGAGCTTAAAGCTAACCTGCCAAACCCCCACGATGGCATTGGCAATGAGGATCAACAGGATGACAAAGGGTTCAACAAAGGCGGTGATGGTCTCTTCACCTTCCTCAAACCAGGCCAGCACCTGGGAAGCAGGGGAGAGAAGAATGACAGGTAATAAAGCCCCCAAAACAGGTGAAGAAGGGAAGTGGAAGGATTCCAGAGGCCACTGCAGAGGTGAGACAATGTGCAGGCGCTAACAAGGCAGGGCATCTTGGGGGTGCCGCAGCCCCGCATCTGTCTGAGGCTCTGCACACTCCGGGCTCAGACTCAGCATGCCCGCCACTGCCATTATTCAGCGGGAACAGGTGGGCACAGACATGCACAACTTGGGGATTAACTGCGAATGCTTTCAGGTTCTCCTGGCTGTGTTGCTGGCTTGGAAGCCAACCTCAGGGCCCACCCAGGCCAACTACCCCCACAGCCACCTCCATCCTGAGGGAGCCAAAACCCCATAGGAAAAACCCTGTGGTCCTCATGGGCGCCTGCCCCCCCCCAGCCCTCCCCCACGGCCAAGGCAAGGCAGCTCCGATTTCATGAGGGAGCAGGAGGGGGGATAGTGTTACTGGGGCCTCCTGTATACGCCCCGCCCAGCTGTTGCCACTGCCAGGCAACAGACACAGGCAAATGTCAAGGAGCAAATCTGAGAAGGGAGGAGTGAGGCCCTGCCAGCTTGTACCCAGGGACGGACCGACGCCGTCTCCCTTAAGGAGACCAAGGCACAGGGAGCCTTTTTTGCCCCCAGAGTCTTGTCTTCCAGCAGGACTGAGACCCTAAGGCAGGAACTCCGAAACGCAGGCTGACTGCTGGGGTCGTGGGTGCCGCGGGGCTGTAGGAACTAGGGAGCGCCCTGGCAGGAGCGGTGGCAGGCCCTGAGGAGGGCGGGGAAGCGGCAGCGGCGAGTCAGGCTGGGCAGAGAGGAGAGCCATCCAGAGTCCCAGCCCTGATGGGGGCGGGCCAGGGCGCCGGGCCTTGGGGCGTGTCTGGATCACCCTCGCACAGTAGCTTTCCCGCCTTGATGAGCGAGTCTTTCCCTCAACCAATCAGCGGCAGGAGGCCGGGGTGGGCGGGGCAGGGGTGCCAGGAGGCCCGGGGATTGGTGGAGCGGGCGGCCTGGGGCATGCCGGGAGAGGTAGTGGCCCGGGAGCCGCAGGCGGCATTACAGCCCTGCTGCGAGCCCAGCGCTTGGGGGGTAACCCGAGCCCTCCAAGCCCTTCAAGCTGCGAGGGTGGCTTAGCTTCAGTGTTTTGGCTGAGAACACCCTTAAAGCTTAAAATAAAACCTGCCTGTGGGGTGTAGGGGAGGACAGAGGAGGACGCGACTCAGCCCCTCCCTGCCTCATCCGTAAAGTAGGATGCTGGGGCTTGGGCTAGAGGAGCCGGTGACCGGGATCCCCGCTCTCCTCTGCCGCGCAGACGTTCCTGATACCCCCGCTCACACCCCCAGCCAGCCCCAGACGCCCTCTCACACTTACAAAGGAAATGCAGGCAGCCAGGAGAAGAATCCGCACCAGGAGGTCTTCAAACTGCTCTACCACCAACTCCCACAGGGACTTCCCTAGGGGAAGAGGCACGGAGAGGGGCCCGGAGTTAAGGTCTAGAGGATGAGGGTCTGGGACTGCGAGTGCAGGCTGGGGTCCAGGGACTGGAGTGCCCTGAGTTCCGCCTGGGGAGGCTCCAGGGTGATGGGTAGGCAGCTTGGTAGGAGAGAAGGGCTTAGGGAGCTCGCCAGGAGTCCAAAAACAGGCTCTTCCAAGTGGTTGGCAGTTGTTTAATGGTTGGATGCCTCCAGGGAGAAAGTGCCCCCCCCCGCCCCCAGGACTCTAATCACTGGGAAGGGGTATTTGCCCAAGGAGTCTATGGAGAAGGGAATGGGACACAGTGAGGAGGGAGGGTCATTTATGAGCACCCAGGGATTCCAGTAACTTACCTTCTTCAGCAGGGAGCTCTTCCCAGGAAAAAGGAAAAAGAAGAAAAGGACATATTCATTTTGGGGTTCAGCCTCATGCCCCCCACATCCAGGACTTTGTGGCAAAGGTAAGAGAATCAGGCTGCCAAAAGGGCATCTGAGGTTCATCAAGGTCATCCCATAAAACTTCCCAAAACTCTAGATCTCAGGCACCCTCTTTTCTCAGTATCCTCTTCCCCCTGAAATCATTGGACCATGGCCCAGCTCTTCCCTAAGATACTCCGGAGGGAGAAACTTTGCGTGTGCGTTGTGTATATGCGTGTGTGTGTGAGTGTGTGTGTGTTGGGGTTGCAGGAGGGCGTTACCAGCCTTTCCTCTGAGGGACACTCACCATTGGGGCCGTATTTTTCCAGATGCCGCTTAACTTGGTCCTGGGTGAGGCCTGTGGTCTCGCTCACCCCAAAATAGGCCAAACATTCCTCTGTGGTCTTGGCGTGTGCGGCATCCATTGTGCTCCCTTCCTGGGGGCCAGGGCGAGGTGTGTTCTTCTGGGGGGTTCTCACTCGTGGGGTCCTTCCTCAGTGTGTACACCTGCCTGTCTGCCTGGGTTTCTCCTCCTTTTCCTCTCCTGCCCCCCCACGTTCTTCTTTCCTCTATGAAGATCTGACCCCCGTCCCACTTGCAGCAGCCGGCCACCCCCCCAGCCCCCAGCTGGTCCTTATGAGCGAGTGGGGGGGGCCCAGACTCCCCCCTCCCCTAGGTCAAGGATTGGCTGGCTGAGACTCCGGCAGGAGGGGTCAGTAGAGAGATATTTCTGCTGACAGAGGGGGAACAGTGGGGCTGCAGCCTGAGATGTCACTCATGAGGGAAGCAAAGGTGGCCCCAGCCCCAGGGAAGGGGGGGCAGGGAGACTTCACTTTCTGTCATCTGCTACCGACATCACCCCCAGTTGCCTTGACTTCCCCAGTTGCACTGAATTTCCTGTTCCAAACTCATCCCCCAGCTCTTCCCTTAAGCCCTCTTCCATACCCGGGCCTCACCTTTCACATTCCACACACCCCCTTTCAGCCCCGTCTGCCCTGAGCCTGTTGCCATTGCCCAGTCTCCTTCCCCCTCAGCTAGTTGTGAATGAGTGGTAGAGATACTCCAAGCCTTGGGGCACTGAAGAAGGGGAGACATCTTTTAGGGGCCAGAGGAAGTGGCTCTAGAGGAACAGGGGAAGTAAGGAGGGGAGAGGGTCAAGGGGACAGGGCAGAAGATGGTAACCCTACCCTAGGGAGGGGTTGCCACAGCCATCAACAAGGGATTTAGTGTCCAGGTCCTAGTGCGCAAAGCCAGTGCTGCACTGCCTGTTTCTCCCCCGATTGCTCTAACTCAGCCTCTGGGAACACAGCCCTCAGGGCCCCCCCATCCCTGACAGGGTATCCCCCTCCAAGAAAATGGGACATCCAGGCAGCCAGGTAACCCAAGAGGCTACAGAATGTGCTGATGGCAGAGAGGGAGGGAGAACTGTTTCAGGATGAGGGCAGGGGTCACCCCAAGTCATGGAGAGAGGGTCACCTCACCCCACACTGCACTGACTTTAACCTGAGAGGTTCACATGGTAGACCGCAGGGGTGCCTGGTCCTCACTCTACTCTGCCACTGCATCTGTCGGCACTGGGGGGGGATGGGGATCGGTGAGGGGAATGGGGATCGGGCCTGTGCTGTGTGATCGGAGGTGGGAACACCCCGGTGACAGGCAGCGAGGAAGGGGGCTGAGGAAGCTGGGTAAAGCAGAGGCTCCAGACCAAAGGAATGGTGGGCGCAGATTTCTGGGACACGTCTAGGGGAAATGAGGACAGAAGAGAGCTGGTGAGGGGAGGCGGTGGAGCAGAGAGACAGGGCCACCAGGGTCAGAGGGAAGTCTGAGAGCAGTGGGGAAAAGGGACAGCAGGGAGCTGAGTGCAAAGCCACAAGTTGTTGCTGAGCGGCTGGCCTTGGTGTCAGCTTCCTCAGAGAAGCAGCTGCTCTGAGCCATCCCTCCCCACCCCTGCTCCAAGATGGGGGCGTCTCTTGGTTACCACCAGGGCAGCTGTTGGAGGAGCAGAGGGAGGGTACCATGGGGTGTGGGCAGGGGAGGAAAGGAAGGCAGAGGAGGCTGGATGAGAGTGCTGGTGAAAGGTTAGTGAGGGGAAGGAGCGGGGTGTCCCGGGGCTCAAGTCTTTCCTCTGTCCAGGACTCAGTTTCCTGAAATGAGCAAGGAGTATGGACTACTGAAAGGTTTCTTAAGGCTACTTCTCACTCAGGCTCAAGTTGCTAAGCAGAGATCATAGAAGACACGGGGGCAGAAGAAGGGGGAGCCCCCACTTTTGGGGAGGAGGTGTGGCCCGCAGGGGTGGATGAACTAGAGGATTTAGCCTCCCAGACTCATCCCTTCTTCTGCCTGGATTGGGGGGAGGCACAGCCTCCAGGGTGAGTTGAGGACAAGGTACTCCTTCCCGCCCCCTTTTCACAGTTCCAGCAAACCCCTCCCCTGAAGCAGAGTCCTGCTGTGACCTGGAGTGTGAGGGGGGGGTCAGGCATTGGGGTGTAAATTTTGGGGGTCGGTCACATCACCAGGCATCTCCACCTGGCCCAGCACCCACTGTCTTAGGCTGGAGTCTGCCCCCGCCAAAACTTGGCGCAGGCTGGCTTCTCCCCACCCGCACCTGGAGGAGTGACAGGGGCCACTGTCTTACAGCAGCAGGAATGCCCAAATATGGAGAGGGCAGACAGGAGAGATGGGTAGCTTCAAGGGAGTTGAGAGCATGAGACAGGCTTTACAGGACATTCCTGCCAATGGGGGGCCTTTAAGGTTATTCGTTCCTACCTCCCCCAGCTTCCCAGAGGGGGAAACTTGAAGCCAGAGAGGGCAAGCCACCAGCTCAGAGCTGCAGCAGGGTCACCAGCACAGAGGCTGTGGGTGTGAACTAGGATGGAGGGAGGTTGCGTGAAGGTTCTCTGTTGGGTCCTGTCCCTTCCCAAGGGGGTCTCCAAGCGCAAGGCTGGAAGGTGCTCTTCCTCTCACACCTGGAGACTGGAGCTGAGAGAATGGGAGAGACCTGGTTCTGAAGGATGTGGAGATAGAGCCTGGCTTATCCCTGGCCAGTTCCGAACTTCGGTTTAACCATCTGCAAAGAAAAGCTTAGAGGGAGACACTGTGTCAGGCTCCAACAGACAAGATGTGCCTGTTGGGTGGATGTCCTTGTACCCCTCCCCTGCCCCATCTTTGGGAGGCAAGTGCCTGAAGGCTGGCAGGGTTTGGGGGAGGGGGAGCCTCAGAGCACCAGTTGCTGCTAGATTAGGAGAGGATCAGGCCCTGCTTACCCTGGGGCGCCACAGCTTTCACTCACCATCTCACTTGGAGAACAGGGCACCCATATCTCCAAAGCATCCCCCCTCCTTTTCAAGGCTAATTCTATCCCTAGTCTCCTGAGGCCAAGGTTTGGGGGAGCCCCAGGGATTAGACGCAACAGGGAGAGCCAGCAGGCTTCCCCGGGCTAGCTCCCAGTCTGGGTGGCCTGTGAGCCCAGCTGTCTCCTGTCCATCTCCTGACAGGACGCAAGGCCCAGAATAGCAAGGTCATGAGCATGGGTAGGGCCTCGTGGTGGTGGGGGCCGAGGCTGAGCGGCATGGGTGCGGGCTCCATGCTGCCTGGAGGGAGAGAGGCAGGATGGTAAGAAGCAGAGCTGGATGGAGCTGGGGAGAGGGCCAAGTGCAGTAGGTGGGATTCTTCACACCCCAGCCCCAGAGCTGGGAAGCCCAGGGGTGCTCTCTGTTGGAGAGCACAGCCACAGCTCAGGAGGCCGGACTCTGAGAGCAGAGCCTGTGTTAGGGGAGGAGGGGCACGGAGGTGCGGGGGGGCGGGCATTGCAAACCCAACAGGTGAGTGATGAGCCTGTGGGGATGGAGCAGGAGTGGAAGGTGCAGCTGTGTGGAAACCAGTAATCTGGATTTTTATGTGAAACTTACATGGAAGCACTATCGAGGCCAAACAAATCATGTCAGCAGCTCTGACTTAAGAGGAAACGTCACATTTTACAGATGAGGATATTAAGGCATAGAGTGACTACACCTTGCCCAGCTCACAGCCAACGAGTAGCAAAGCCACTCATTGTGAGGATCAAAGCCAGTGCTCTTTGTCATCTGTCCTCTAGCCTGGCTCTGAGAGGGGGCAGGCAGTCTGCCCTTGGGCCCCTTTGGAACCAGACTCTGCCACCTCAAATCTCTCCCAACACAGCTATGCCCCACTGTCTGCCTGCCTTCTCCCTAGGGCAGGAAAGGCCCTAGATCGTCAGCCCTGCATTCACTGTCTTACCGCACTAAGAGAACTTGCTGGAGACCCCCGGAAGCACCATTCAGCTCTGCATTTACCTTTCAATAAACAAGACTGCCCCAGACAGGAACAACCTTGGAAGCACAGGACTCAGGCCTGGGTCAGCTCTGGAGCTCACAGCACTGTGCTGCCTTCCCAACCCGCCTGTCCCAGTCCCTGCTGCAAACACTGGCCACAGCCATCATGATGGAACTGAGATAAACCCTTTTATTTATTTATGCTTCTCCATTTTGTTTAAAACAACAACAACAACAATCTTAATATCACGGACAGCCCTTCCTCCCTCACCCTTCCTTGGGCTGAGGGGTGGTTCATGGGGAAATGGCCCCCAGGGGTGGGGCTGACCACAAGAGCCCCTCAAGGAGGTAATGGAGCCCAAATCCTCTGCCCAGGGGAAGGGGCGCCTGTAGTGTATGAACTGGGGGGTCAACAGGGCTCTTGAACCTCTGCTTGTACCAACATATATGCCCTTGGCCAATGAGGTCAGGAAGCATGTGGGAGGGGTTTCTATCTCTATGTCCCTACCCAGCCCAGTCTCAGGAACCAAGGGCTGGGGAACAAAGAGTGGAGAAAGGGTGGGTAGGGCGTCTCACACAAAGGAGTACTGGTTATTAATGGCTCTGGGGTGGCCCCCTTCTTCTCCATCGCCCCCTCGTGGTAACTGCTGGAGCTGCACCATCAGGCTCACCCCAGAGTTCCCAACAGATCCAGCGCCTCCCTGGGCCTCCGTGCAAGGTGCTACGGCCTCTTCCAATTCAACCACGGGGACCAGCTCAGCCACGGGGACCAGCTCTTCCTGGACCCCTCCACCGCCCGCTTTCTCTTTCTCTTGCCTCTCTTTGGCTGCTGCGGCTGTTGCTGCCGCCACTTCTGGCGCCCCCGACGCCTCTTCTGTCCCAGGATGTGGGGCATCTGTCCATGAAGGGGGATCAGGGGGCTGGGGTGGATCATGGGAGGTGTTCGATTCTGGATAGGAATGGTAAGAAGACAAACTGATTGTGGAGGGAGGCAAGCTCTTGTGGCAGCCTCCCCTTCGCTGGTCCCCCCAGGAGCCATGTGCTATCTCCCCCACATCCCATCTCCTGAGCGACCCCACCCCAACCCCCCGGTCCATGGAAGATGGATCATGGGCGGTGGTGAGAGGAGGACCACACTTACACACAGTCACTCGCTCCGAAGGGCATGAGGGTGGAGGAGGCATCGGGGTGGCATCCATCTCCCTCGCACACCCCTGCATGGCTCCCGGCCTGCTCCCGGCCTGGGGGGAGGGGCAACGTGGGGACAGATGGGACGTTGGGACGGGGGAAAGGGAGAGAGCAGACAGGGGCATCAGACACCAAGGGAGCAGGGAGGGGGAGCAGACCGAGCGTCCCCAAGGAGGGCAGGCCCAAGGCCAGGCTGTCCCAAAGGGCAAAGACAAGGCTGGGGAGGATGGATCCAGGAGACAGACAGACGATGGAACAGAGGGGTCCGATGGAATGGGGATGCACCAGCCCTCCTCAGCTGCCTCCCGCTCCAGCAAGGAGCCCTCTGCCTTCCTACATCCTATCAGCGTAGTTCTTTCCCTCCCAAACCCCTTGGGAGGAGCCTTCCCTACCCTGTTCTCCCACGCAAACCTCTCCTCACAGCCCCCCCGCCCCATCTTGCTGGCGCACACACCTCACTTCTTGGGTGCGCGGGCACCTCCTCCCCTGCAGACCTGCTCTGCTCACCCTGCTGTCGCTGGGAGGACGGGACATAGCTGACAAGGACAACATCACTGGAGCCTCCAGACTCCAGAGGGATGGGGTGCACCCGGAAATGCTCGAGCATATCAAAAATGGACTGGAACCACAGGTGCTGGACCCGGCACTGACCCTCCTCATTCAGGGACAAACGCAGGTGCTGAGGGCAGGATAAGCACAGTTAGGCAGGAGCCTCAGCTCCCGCCAGTTACATGACCCTCCACCCCTGGACGGCACCCCCCATCCACCCACACACCCTGCACACACAGCCTGTTCCTCAGTCACTCACCTTGGCCTTGCCCTGGAAGTTGAAAGTGAGGACATATTCACCCCGCCTCGTCTCGCTCTGCCGCACCAGGAAGACACCATGGGAGCCAGTGCCTCCTGTCAGCACTAACTGGGCAGCCTTGAGTCGAGAGAGCATCCCATGGAACCAAGGATATCCGCAGAGGGGCTGGTCCCCATCACCTCCCTCTGACTCCCCCTGGAACAGGAATGACCCTTCAGGAAGGAGAGAGGGAGGGAAACCAGGGTGTCAGGGAAGCCTCCCCCATCCTGGGAGAAAAGAACCCTGCTATCCTCTCAAGGCGCCTCCTCCCCTCAAGTGGCATCTTCCTCCCCCTGGGTCAGATCCGTAGGATCCCAAGGTAGGCGTTTCAGGAAGGCAGGCACGGGGGCCTGGACACACACACTCACACCTCTGGTACCTGTGGCTGTTTCCGGAGTATCCAGGGGAGGGTAGGGGGCTGAGAGGGGATGAACTGTCCCTGCTGGGGGTCCTTCTTCAATGGGGATGCGGGGAGGCAACTCTGGGGGAAGCAGTTCCATTGAATCAAAATGAGAGGCGGCAATGGAGGCGGAACTGGGGGAGATGGATGCTGAGGGGCGGTCTGAGAGGCCCCCGTATGCCCCTGGAATAAAACGGGGAGGGCAAAGTTGAGAACTCAAGAAGCTCCTCGTGGGCTGGGCATGGTGGCTCACGCCTGTAATCCTAGCACTCTGGGAGGCCGAGGTGGGAGGATCGTTTGGAGCTCAGGAGTTCGAGACCAGCCTGAGCAAGAGTGAGACCCCATCTCTACTAAAAAAAACAGAAAGAAATTAGCCAGACCCCCCTCCCCCCCAAAAAATATATAAAATTAGCTGGGCATGGTGGCGCATGCCTGTAGTCCCAGGTAGCAGGTACTGGGGAGGCTGAGGCAGGAGGATCGCCTGAGCCCAGGAGTTTGAGTTGCTGTGAGCTAGGCTGACGCCACAGCACTCTTGCCTGGGCAACAGAGTGAGACTCTGTCAAAAAAAAAAGAAAGGAAGGAAGAAAGAAAGGAAGGAAGAGAGAGAGAGACGTAAGAGAAGAGAGAGCAGGGAGGCGAGGGAGGAGGGAGAGAGAGAGAGAGAGAGAGACAGAGAGAGAGAGAGAGAGACAGAGAGAGAGAGAGAGAGACAGAGACAGAGAGACAGAGAAAAGAAGCTTGTCTTGCACAGGGCTGGTCTCCTAGATCCTCCAGCATTGACCCCATGTGCACTGGCAAAGTGAGTGGGCCAAACAACAACAGCTCTGCAGGTGGTGACCCCTGCTGGGCTTTCACCAATTGTTCCTAACTTGATGCTTCTTGCACTGCTGAGTTATTGCAGGGAGGTCCTCCAATCCAAATGCCTCTATCTTTTCTGAATCAACAGCTGAAAAACTGTTGCAGAGGTGGGAGGTAGAATGCCTCAAATATTTTGACATTAAAAAGGAATCTTTTGTGGACTATAGGACAAAACCCCCAACTCTAAGATCCTCCTTCTATTAATCACCCCAACCTATACCAATTCCATCTTTAACTTTTCTTTTTTTGGTAGAGATGGGGTCTCACTATGTTGCCCAGTCTGGTCTTGGACTCCTGGCCTCAAGCCACCCTCCTGCTTTGGCCTCCTAAAGTTCTGGGATTATAGGCGTGAGCCTCTGTGACCAGCCCCCCCTCCCTTTTTTTTTCTTTTTGAGACAGAGTTTCGCTTTGTTGCCCAGCCTAGAGTGAGTGCCATGGCGTCAGCCTAGCTCACAGCAACCTTAAGCTCCTGGGCTCAAGCAATCCTCCTGCCTCAGCCTCCCAAGTAGCTGGGACTACAGGCATGCACCACCATGCCCGGCTAATTTTTTCTATATATATTAGTTGGCCAATTAATTTATTTCTATTTATAGTAGAGATGGGTCTTGCTCTTGCTCAGGCTGGTTTCAAACTCCTGACCTCAAGCAATCCTCCCACCTCGGCCTCCCAGAGTGCTAGGATTACAGGCGTGAGCCAGCACGCCCGGCCCAGCCTCTTGATCTTTACCTTAACTTGTATTCATGTATCCTTCACTTCAGCCCAATCATCCTGTCCCATTTTTCCAGATATCCTGGGCCCTCCCACCTCAGGTCTCTGTCCTCATCATTTGCCTCCTTCAAGTCATGTTCATTCTCTCACCTCTTCCACCTTCCCCTGTTCTCTTCCTCCTCTCAGCTCTCAACATGCCTCCTGTTTGTGCTGCTCAAGGGACACTAAGCATAGACTCTCCACCTTGGGGACCTGCTTTTCATAGGGAGTGATGTCTTGTCAATCCAGTTAGACCGTGAGCTCATGGAGGGAAAGGAGATCATCTCAGGCATCTCTGAGCCCCCCATCCTGCCCCAGAGACTAGCACAGGGCCAGGGAAGTACTAGGCCTTCCTTCCTGGGTGTCTGGGGAGCAGCGGGCCTGGGCCAACACGAATGTCATACGTAGTGGGTGCACAGAAGACAGGTGTATGTGGAGAGCAGTGACTCAGGAATCAGGCTGGCATAGCCCCTATCTTTGTCAATGACTCTCAGGTGACCCCAGAAAAGCCCTTTCCTCTCCCTGATCTTAGCTGCCTGAGAGCTGATAACTCGTAAGGTCCATTCTGGCTCTAAGATTCTACGGTTCATTTGTTCGTTCACTGAATACAGCCTGTGTGCCAGGCACTCTGCAGCTGAAACTCAGAATGGAGGGTCAGGAGAAAAGGGTATAGTGGAAGCCGAATCTGGAAAGGTGAGTTGGGCCCAGATACTGTATGTCTTTATGCATATCAGTGTGGGTAAGGTATGTGTATTTGGTCAGACCAAAAAGTAGAGTCAAAACAAAATTCAGTGCCATCAACATACATACAGAGACACAGACTTAAGAGCAAAACAAAGATTTCTACAAAGTGTTCTGGCAGCTTGGAGAAGAGAACTGTCATCTCCAGCCAGAGTGGTGGCCTGCAGGAGACTTATGATAAAAGTGACACAGCTGGATGTAGAAGACTGAAATGGAGTTTGCTTGGGGCCTGTGTGTAGTGGGGATGGTGACAGTTCTAAGTGGCAAACTTAGAACCGTGTGGCTTGAGAGTGCCTAGCATGTTCAGAGACAAAAGACGAACATTCAGAGGGGGCAGGGCAGCTGGGGGAAGGGATGGGACACCAAAGCCTAGAGAAGAGTGACAGCAGGGGCTCACATGGCAACTTCTGAGGCTCCATCCTTACCCTGCGACAGGCGGTCGTTGCTCTCGCTCGGTCCCAGCAGCATATCCTGGCTGGGCAGACTTTCTGAGTGATTCAGGCAGGATAGCTCCAGGCTGTCCGTGTTCTCCCTTGTAATGAATGAGGTCCCAGGGGCAAGAGGGAGAGTCATGGGGCGGGGACTGGTAGCAGGGCAGGGTCTGCAGAGACAGGGAAAATGGTGCTGGGAGGAAATTCTTCAGGTGAGAGGCACAAGGCTGCTCCCCACCCCCACCCCCAGGTCCTCTCAGTAACAGAAGTCAGGCTCCTCACCCTGGGCTCAGGCACTCTTGGATGTCGGACACCCAGGCCTTCACATGTTGAGCATCAGCTGTCTCTAGGATATACTCTGAGGGGCCTTCCACCTATGGACACAAGAGGAGGGCCTCACCCAGCACAGGGTCAGGGAGGAGGCCCCCAAGCCATGTCCACATCCTGAGTCCTTAATCCACCCATAATGAGTACAAGACATGTAAGCTATCTAAAAGGAAAACACGGGCTGGGCACAGTGGCTCACGCCTGTAATCCTAGCACTTTGGGAGGCTGACATGGAAGGATGATCACTTGAGGCCAGGAGTTCCAAACCAGCCTGAGCAACAGAGCAAGACCCCATCTCTACACAAACAGAAAAATTAGGCAGGCATGGTACATGTGCCTGTAGTCCCAGCTTCTTAGAAGGCTAAGGCAGGAGGATCACTTAAGCCCAGTAGTTGACAGGTTGCAGTGAGCTATGATGATGCCACTGCACTCTAGCCTGGGCGACAGAGCAAGATCCTGACTCAAAAAAAAAAAAAAAAAGCATTTAAACTCTTTCGGAGCAGAACTTTTTTTTTTTTTTGAGACAGAGTCTAGCTTTCTTGCCTAGGCTAGAGTGAGTGCCATGGCGTCAGCCTAGCTCACAGCAACCTCAAACTCCTGGCCTCAAGCCATCCTCCTGCCTCAGCCTCCCAAGTAGCTGGGACTACAGGCACAAGCCACCATGCCCGGCTGATTTATATATATATATATATTAGTTGGCCAATTAATTTCTTTCTATTTTTATGGTAGAGACGGGGTCTCGCTCAGGCTGGTTTTGAACTCCTGACCTTGAGCAATCCACCCGCCTCGGCCTCCCAGAGTGCTAGGATTACAGGCGTGAGCCACCGCGCCCGGCCTCAGAACATTGTTTTTGAGAACAGGAACATCTCCTTCTCTTCTCCATCATCTTCCCAAAAAGCCACAGCCCCAGGCACACACTCTCAAGGCACTGGACATGTACATACCCCACCCTGCTAATGTCACTTGCTTAAATGTACTGAGAGCTTTCTCCCCAACACAAGTACTCCCAGGGGTTGGGGACCTCGGAGCTCCTACCTTAACCACAAATGTGTTCTCCCGGTCAGGCATCTCCAGGGCTGTGGTCGTCCGGACATCTGTGATCGTAGAGCAGGGAATGCTGAGTCGGGGCCGAGATGCCTAGGTTGGGAGGGAGAACAAATCCAGGTTTTTGGTGTATAGGAACCATCTTTCCCTCCGCCTCCTAGGGGAGTTAGAGGTAAGAACACTGCTTTCTCCATCCTGCCCACAGCTACTAACACAGAGCCAGGAGCTAGCTTTAAAAACAAACAGTAAGCAAAGCTCTGTAGATGGGCTGCTAAACCCCACAGCTTACGTGCAGGGCTGAGTTACCACCCCGGCTGCTCTATCACTCGCTCCCAGTCACCCACCCTCCTTGGGTGCTCACCTTGGGTGGTACAAAGAACTCCAGGCGACTTCCTCCTCCTCCTTCTCCTTCACTTCGAAGCAGTAAGCGACACTTCTGCCACTGAGGTTGCCCTCCTCCCCCTGAGGTAGGTCCAGGTGCCCCACCTCCCCGGCCCACGCCAGCTGGCTCAGGGGCTGCCTCTTCAGCCCCCATGAAACTCAGCAGCTCTTCCCTCTGCACCGTCCCCACTGCGTCCTTCAAGGTCCCCCCTCCCCGACTGAGTCTCAGCCTCTCAAAACGGTGAGTCCATCTTTCCCCAGGGGATGTTCCATCACTTGCCAGTCCCCTACCAATGGTCCCAGCCCCACCAGAGGAGTTGGAGTTGCTGTTTCCACCTAAGACTGGGGGGCCTGATGAGGTTTCCAGGGGCCCCGCTGGGGAGGGGGGATCAACGGTCCCCCGCCACTGCAGGATGCCACGGACTGAACCTCGGACGGAGCGACCCACTGATCGGAGGGAGAAGCGTTTCTTTAGCTTCGGCTTCGAGGAGGTCGTAGAAGAGGAAGAGACTGAGGAAGGGAGGGGGCCAGCCAGGTCCTCAGATGATCGAGAAGGGCCCAGCACAGCCAGGGGCCCACCCACCCTGCAGCTCTCAAGGGACAGGTCATGTGGCGAGATCTCCACACCAGGACTCAGGGGAGCCAGGATGGGTGGTGAGAGGGAGCCAGAGGCCCGGGCCACCTCTGCTTCGAAGTGCTGCAGGAAGAGCTCAGCGAAACGGCGGGAGAAGGCAGCCTCAGCCCCAGGTCCCGCATATTGGGGGTGGGAGGCCAGGTAGAGGCGGAAACGGCGGGCAAAATCCAGGGCAGCAGCCCGGGCATGGGACTCACAGAACTCCCGCCAACTAGGGGGAGGAGGTGGTGGCAGGGGGGGAGGGGAGGGGGAGGCCCCATCCTCCGGGGAAGGGGCACCATTCATGATGGTCCCCAGGAGGTGGAGAGGGGGAGCCTGTGGGGAGGGGCAGCAAAGAGGGAAGCGGCCAGAAGACACGGGCTGAGCGGCAGCAGCTGCAGGAGAGAGAGGCACATACACCTGGTCACTGCTGAGGTGGGACTAGTGGAGAGTCCCACCCCAAGCCAGAGACTCCCTAGGCCAGTTCGGACTCCTCATAGAGCAATGGGGAAGAGAACCAAACCGCCTTTCCCTCTCCCAGGTCCTTGCACCCCACAAGCCCCACTCAACTGGTGCTCCAATGTCTAGCCTGCCCACACCCTGCTGCCTTCCCGGCCACTTCCCCTGGCTTCAGATCCACAACTGACAGATGACTGTGGAGCACCTTCCTCCCCCTCACCAAAACACCCCCCACAACTTTTCCAGATCACCTCTTTCTTTATGATGGATCCTCCAATATTCATTACATACTTCCCATGTGACATTCTAGAGGATTCCACGTGGTTATCTTACCTTTACCTGTAAGAGGTTTTAATAGCCTAACAGATGAGGAAACTGAAGCTCAGAAAAGTTTCAGAACTCCAGGTCTACTGTTTTTCCCACTGCATTGTCCTTGTCCCCAGGGAGTGCCTTACCGCTCCAGCTCTCATGGGGCCAGAGAAGAGCTGGGACTACAGAGCTTAGAGACCCTGCCTCATGCACCTTATGGTCCAGCTTTTTGGAGGGAGGTCATCCATTAAGGAGGACGGATGGATGATGGATTGAAATAGCAATTGTTTTGAAAGCTCACCCTGGAGTCCAGCACTCAATCACTGTGTGAAGGAGACTTGGAATAGCTACAGCCCAGCCCACTTCTTCGGTGCCCCTTCAGCCTGGGGCCCAGATGCTGCAGCACCAGAGGAGAGACTGGGTTGGGTCAGGGCAAGTCTCTGCTGGCCAAAATATCACAAGGGGCTGGGGCCCTAGGATTTTTCACCTCCCTCTTCTCTCACTGGGGAGTGTGCTCTAAAGGCTGGTTAGCCTGCTGCTTAAAGGCCATGGGTTCTGATGTCAGACTTAGGCTGAAACTTCAGCTCAGCCACCTATTAGCTGTGTGATCTTGACAAATTACACGTCCTCTCTGAGCTTCAGTTTTCGTTATCTGTAAAACAGAGTTAATGATCCCCACCTGCTAGAACTGTTGGGAGAATTAAGTGGAATATGTCAGTTCTTGACACAAAGTAAGCACACAATAAATGACTGCCATTGTTACCATCTTCATGGAGGAGAAGAGTATCACGACTCTAATAGTCTAAAAGAGAAATTAAAGAAAGGAAGACCCTTACCAAGGCCTTACAACTAGAAAGTGGCAGAGCTGGGCGTGGAATTTACAAACGATGGCTCTTTTGTTAGTGCTCCTCCAAGCTGTACTGTAAGGTAACTGGGGCCAGGGCAGCTCAGAAAAGTCTCCCTGAACCCTCCGCAACCTCAGACTCCTACTCAAACCCACAGCCAGGCTGAAAGTCAGCGACCCCTCCTCTATCACCTTGGCCTAAGCCCTACACACTCAGACGGCCCCAACCATAGGGATAACTCCAAACCAACGAGAAGCAGCCAGGAGACGCAGGAGTCATGGAGCACGGGGGAACCGAGCCAAGAGGTGTAGACACAGCACAGACCAATCTCCAGCCAGAGGCCACCTCAGCTCACACAGGCCCACCCAGCCCTCTGCACCACAGGCAACCCAGCCCCCTTCAGGTCCGCTGACCCTGAGGCTCCTGAGCTGGTGACTCAGTTTCTCTTCTGCCAAGCAGGACTCAGACACATTTTCCCGATGCACCTGCCTCTTGGCTCAGTTCTGCTATTTCCCGAAGGGCGGGTGGTGGAGAGTGCAGGCTCCGCTCCTGGCTTGGTTGGACCCTCCGGGCCCGGTGGTCAATCCACTCCGACCCGACCCTACTCCCTGGACACTCTGCACCCGCCCATTCCCCGGGGACACAGCCTCCTCAGGACCTGTCCTGACTGCTGCACTGTGCGGGGCCGAGCGCCCCGCTGCCCGGCCCTCCACGCCCACTCCCACCCAGGGCTCGTTCTCAGGCGCCGGGGCCGGGACGCGGAGAGGAAAGAGGCACTTGAAGAGGGGGGGTTCCGGTTCCGGTCCCACCTGCATCTCGGTCCCCGCGGTTAGCTCCGGCGGCGGCGGCAGCTCCCGCTCCCTGCGCACCCCCACCCCCTCCGTGACGAGCGCCCAGCCGGGTTTTGCGCAGGCGCTGGGACCCCTTTTCCTGTCGCGGAAGGAAGCGACCATAGAGAAGAGCGGTGAAGGGAAGGGTACCCTTATACTTACTTCCGCCATCCTCCTAGTCCGCGCAGACCCTTAAGATCTATAGGTGTGAATCTCGTAGGGCTTCAGGGGCTTCTCCCGTTGCGCCTAAAAGGGACCGCAGAGACAGCTGTGGGAAGGGGTGGGATCGCACCAGAACGTCCTTCCGGAGGACATTCGGGACAAAGGAGATATGTTAACCATAGAGAGGGCACTTTAGGCGACAGAGTCCCGAGGCCTTGCTGAAGGCTAGAGTAGCCGCCGAGTACCGGAAACCAGCGAGATGATGAGGCTTTTTGAAGGGCCCGCTGCAGCCTAGAGCGCCTGGCTGACCTGGCTGCTGGGGGCACGCGGACACCGCCCCCAAGGATATGGGCGAGGAAAGAAACGGGTGACCTTCGGGAGGCCCCGCGGGGAGGCGGAGCCTGAACTTACGACCTTGGTTTCTCTAAGAGGGGAAATAAGGATAGGGGCGAGAAATAATGAGGTCAGTTTTGGATGTGCTTGTGGGACATCAGGAAGTAGGTGGACATACAACCCAGAGCCCAAGAAAGGCATCAAGGCCAGTTGAAACTGAGAACAATTAAGGTATACAGGTTTGTCGAAATCGTGAGCATATTGAGGTCCTCTATCAATCCTGTCTCTCATTGACCCAGCTCCAGCTGGCCTAAACAATAGGGGATCTATGGCTCAAGTAATTGAAAAGTCCAGAGTGGATCAAACTTCTTTCAGACAGCTGAATACAGGGGCCAAAAGATACGAGGAACCTGTGGTTCACCATCTCTGGTCCTGCTTTAACTATGCATTTCGCTTCACTCTCAGGCAGGGTGTCCTCTCTTAGTGGCAAGATGGCTTTCTATAGCTCCAAATTTAAGTCCTACTAACCTAGCAACTCTAGAAGGAGAACGCTTCTTTTCTGAGATTCCCAATGAAATTTCCAGAACTGACCAACTGATTGGATTACATGCCCATCCTGGAACCTTACAGAAGCAACTAACCCAAGAAATGGAGATAGATAGATACCCTGACTCTCATAAGAATGTTTGTTCATAGCTGAGACTGCCAGATGGAGTTGGAAAAACTTGTGGAAAGGCCTGGCCCAGCCAATCTCAGCCCCCTAGCTCTAACCAAACTAACATCAGTTCACAGATAGAGGGCTTTTGTTCACACCAGCTTTATTTTTATTTATTTATTTTTGAGACAGAGTCTTACTTTGTTGCCCGGGCTAGAGTGAGTGCCATGGCATCAGCCTAGCTCACAGCAACCTCAAACTCCTGGGCTCAAGCAATCCTCCTGCCTCAGCCTCCTGAGTAGCTGGGACTACAGGCATGCGCCACCATGCCTGGTTAATTTTTTCTATATGTTTTTAGTTGGGCAATTAATTTGTTTCTATTTTTAGTAGAGACAGGGGTCTTGCTCTTGCTCAGGCTGGTTTTGAACTCCTGACCTTGAGCGATCCACCTGCCTCAGCCTCCCAGAGTGCTAAGATTACAGGCGTGAGCCACCGCTCCTGGCCCACACCAGCTTTTTTTTTTTTTGAGACAGATTCTCGCTTTGTTGTCCAGGCTAGAGTGAGTGCCGTAGAGTCAGCCTAGCTCACAGCAACCTCAAACTCCTGGGCTCAAGAGATCTTACTGCCTCAGCCTCCGGAGTAGCTGGGACTACAGGCATGCGCCACCATGCCCGGCTAATTTTTTATATATATATCAGTTGGCCAATTAATTTCTTTCTATTTATAGTAGAGACGGGGTCTCGCTCTTGCTCAGGCTGGTTTTGAACTCCTGACCTCGAGCAATCCGCCCGCCTCGGCCTCCCAGAGAGGTAGGATTACAGGCGTGAGCCACCGTGCCCGGCCCCCACACCAGCTTTATTCATACCTCTTCCCAGTTCAGAGGAAGATGTCAATGAAAAGGACCCTATTCCTGTGGTCCACCCCACGCTTGCTCCACATACCGTTACACACCCTTTCTCTGTAGACTGGTCCATCATTGTCTAGGAGAGAGACACACAGCTGACGGTTACAGAAAGGCAAGAGGCTAGTGATGATGAGTTGGGTTTGGAAGTGTTATGTCTAAGCTGTCCAATAAAATCTTCTGGGATGACCAAAATGTTCTACATCACACTGGCACTGTGCAATATTGTAGCCATCAGCCACATGTGGCTATTAAGTACTTGGAATGTGGCTAGTGTGACTAAAGAACTGAAGTTTCAATTTTAGTTAATTAAAACAGGTGTGGCATGGTGGCTGCCATCTGTAATCCCAGTACTTTGGGAGGCCAAAGTGGGAGGATCACTTGAGCCCAGAACTTTGAGACCAGCCTGGGTAACAGTGAGACCCCATCTGTAGAAAAAATTTAAAACAAAATAGTGGCATATATCTGTAATCCTAGCTATTTGGGAGCCTGAGGCAGGAGGATCTCTTGAGCCCAGGAGTTTGAGGCTGCAGTGAGTTATGATTGTGCCACTGCAGTCCATCCTTGGTGACAGAGCAAGAGCCTGTCTCTAAAATTAAATAAATTAAAATTAAAACAGCCACAGGTGGCTAGTGGCTACTAGACAGTGCAGAAAGTATCTCTATCCTTGGACAACTAGGTGGAGCTGTCCAGCAGAGATGAATTTATAGCCAGAGCTGCGCAAAGCAGTTTGGTGGTGATCAGACATGAGAAGGAGTTGAAGCCATGGACATCAATGAGATTGTCCAGGCCACATATATAGAAAAGAGAAGAGGGCCTAGGGCCTAGTCTGGAGAATAATCAACATTTAACAGGTAGGCAGGCAGGGTGAAGTGGCTCACGCCTGTAATCCTAGCACTCTGGGAGGCCGAGGCGAGCGAGAGCCGATTGCTCAAGGTCAGGAGTTCAAGACCAGCCTGAGCAAGAGCAAGACTCTGTCTCTACTAAAAATAGAAAGAAATTAATTGGCCAACTAAAAATATATATAAAAAATTAGCCAGGCATGGTGGCACATGCCTGTAGTCTCAGCTACTCAGGAGGCTGAGACAGGAGGATTGCTTGAGCCCAGGAGTTTGAGGTTGCTGTGAGCTAAGCTGTCACCATGGCACTCTAGCCCGGGCAACAGAGTAAGACTCCGTCTCAAAAAAAAAAAAAAAGGAAAAGAAAGAAAAAAATGGGTAGGCAAAGAAAGAGAAGTAGAAAGTGCTGAGATAATGTCTTGGGTGAGGTTTTCCAGAAACACCTTAAGATGAGGATTTGTGTGCAAATGATTAATTAAGAAAGAGCTCCAGAAGAAACAAATAAAGGAGTGGGAGAAGCAGGAGAAGGAAGGAGGGGAAGCCAATCAAGTGTGTGATATAAGGTGGAGAGTAGTTCTGTTTGATCTCACAGGGGAGCCCTGGATATAAGTATGCCTCAGATTTGTCCAGAAACAAGGGAGCTGGGCTTTTCACCCACAAACATCCCTCAGCTGTTGACCAAAGGGCTACTATGCCCTGTGAGATGTCAGTTCCCAGGTACTTGATAAAAAAAAAAGCCGGCCGGGCACGGTGGCTCACGCCTGTAATCCTAGCTGTCTGGGAGGCAGAGGCGGGTGGATTGCTCGAGGTCGGGAGTTCGAAACCAGCCTGAGCAAGAGCGAGACCCCCGTCTCTACTATAAATAGAAAGAAACTAATTGGCTGCTGAAGCCGGAGGATCTCTATTAAGCCCAGGAGTTCTGAGCATGTACACTATGCCTTATGGGGCCACGAGTTCAGCATCAACATAGTGACTGGCAGTGAGGAACACCGGTTGCCTATGGGGGGGTGAACCTAGCCTAGGGTCCGAAACGGTAGACGTCAAAACTCCAATGCTGAATCAGTAGCGGGGGGAAGGAGCCTGTGAATAGCCACCAACGACTCTAAGCCCTGGGCAAACACAGCAAGAACCCTGTCTCTTAAAAAAAATGTAGGCCGGCGCGGTGGCTTAAGCCTGTAATCCTACGCACCTCTGGGAGGCTGAGGCGGGCGATGCTCGAGGTCAGGAGTTCGAAACCAGCCTGAGCAAGAGCAAGATCCCGTCTCTACTATAAATAGAAGAAGAAATAATTGGCCAATAGATATTATATAAAATTAGCCAGGCGTGGGGGGCGCATGCCTGTAGTCCCAGCTACTCGGGAGGCTGAGGCAGCAGGATTGCTTGAGCCCAGGAGTTGAGGTTGCTGTGAGCTAGGCTGACGCCACGGCACTCACTCTAGCCTGTGCAACAAAGCGAGACTCTGGTTCTCAAAAAAAAAAAAAAAAAAAAAAAATTTAATCCTAGCACCCTGGGAGGCCGAGGCAGGTGGATTGCTCGAGGTCAGGAGTTCAAAACCAGCCTGAGCAAGACCTCGTCTCTACTAAAAAATAGAAAGAAATAATTGGACAACTAAAAATATATATATCAACACTGCTGCTCTGCTAAAAAAAAAAATTATATATTATATATACAAAAAATTAACCAGCGCATGTGGCACATGCTGTAGTCCCAGCTAATTGGGAGGCTGAGACAGGGAGGATCCCCTGAGCCAGGAGTTTGGAGGTTGCTGTGAGCTAGGCTGAGCCATGGCACTCACTCTAGCCTGGGCAACAAAGTGAGACTCTGTCTCAAAAAAAAAAAAAAAAATTAAAAAGCAAACCTTTCCCCTTCTCAAACACAACCCTCTCTTCTCTCTCCTTCAGTCACATTCCTTCTCCTACCTGGCCTTCCATTCACTCCTCCAAACCACTACCATTTGCTTCTGCTACCACCATGTCCCTAAATTACTCTCACCAAGGTGGCTCAGCAATCTCTTCATTATCAATGTCTTTCTCTTTTTTAATGGATTTTCTCATCACTATACTAATGAGGGATCAATGTCTTCTGCAGCAGACAATGGCAGCACACAGCCCTGATCCCCAGGATCCCCTTTTACCATTTGTGTATTGTTTGCCCATTTCTCCCGACACATGCACATCCAAGACTCCCACACTTCCTGGTCTTTGGT